TAATATTTATTTAATATATATATTAAATGAATTTAGAACTATTTTAAAATAGCACTTAAATAACAATAAATCATTTAAGAAACCATTCAAAATATACTGAAGCACAATTAAAATGTTATTAAAATTCCCTTGATGCTGAATTAAAATTAATTGAAACTGAATCTGAACTAAAGTTAAACTCAGATATTTACATATACGACATATTTATAAATATACAAGGAAATCCTACATTTTTACATACCTACGAAATTTCAAAAAGAAACCACAATTTAAATACAAATACTGAAAATAAAAAAATATTACTGTTACATGGATTTGGGGGCAGCTCTTTAACTTTTTATAAAATTTTAAAAGATCTAAGTGATAAATATACTGTTTATGCTTTTGATTTCATCGGAATGGGTCTTTCGGATCGATAATAATATAAAATAGAAGAAAATACAGCCTAAGTGATTAGTTTTTTCACTGAAACAATTGACTAATGGCGTTAAAAAGTGATTAAAAATTTTGAGAAAATATCAATTGCAGGTCATTCTTTTGGCGGATATATTGCATTTAATTATTTCTGGAAAAAAAGGGAAACTATAGAATAATTATTCCTTTTATCTCCTATGGGAATGACAAAATGTAACTAAAAATACAATTTTAAAAACGATGAAGAAATTGAAAAATACATATAAGAGCAACCCAAGTTTTCCTTTAGAATTTTACTCAAAATGATACATAGTGTATAAAAAAATAAAAGTACCCCAAGCTAAATTCTCAAAAAATGGTATATTCCAACCAAATTTATAATTTAGAAAGCTATAAATAAAAGATTAAAAATTAAAAAAGAATCGGAAAAATAACTTTGGCAAGATTTCATTAAAAATATGTACTAATTACCTGATAGTACTGAATATTTTATACATTAGTTAGTCAATTTAATTAGTTATGTGGCTGCTAAAGATGGCTTTTCAATTGAGGAAATATTTTAATCAAATGAAAACTATTCAGAAATTAATAGAGACGATTTTTAAAATTAAGTTTATTTTATTTATGGAGAACCGAATATTGATTGGATGAATTCTAAAGGTGCAGAGAGAATAACCAAAACAAATTAATACAAAAATGTTAAATTATAACTTCTAAGACTTGAAGGGGCTGGACATTAAGTAACTTTTGACAATCCTAAAGGTTTAGCTGATATAATCTTATAATAATGAAAAAATTAAATAATTAATTCTTAAATAATAATATAGTTAATGGATTGTATTAATATATAATATATATAAAATAACTATATTTATATATATATATATATATATATATATATATATATATATTTAATAATTCAAAATAATAATTTTAAATATTCATATATTTATTTATATGTAAAGTTAAAATATTGTTATTACTAATATATAATAAAAATAATATATTATATTCTTTAAATACACGAAAAATTACATTCAATAAAAAAAAAAAATATATATATTCAATAACTGTAAGAAATCATATTATAATGAATAAAGTATTAGTCGATAAAATTACTAATTACATTTTTATAAAGGAAGTTGATTTTTTTAAAAGAAAAAAAAAAAAAATTAAATCTGTTAAAATGATACATAATTTAAAAAGAATGCTTAAAATATTATAAAAAATTATTGATTAATAAATAATTATATTTAATATTCAGAAAATATAATATAATGCTATAAAAAAAAAAATATTAAAATAAAAAAAAAATAATATTAAAAAAAAAAAATTTAAATCATAAAACTAATAGAAAATAAAAAAAATATATATATATATAATAAAAAAATATTATAAAAATATAAATATAAAATATGATAAAAATATTGGATATAGTTTAATAAATTAATTAATTTATATAAAAAAAAAAAAATTATATAAATATAGTAATAAAGGATTAATTAAATAATTTTCAAATTTATAAAAAATAAAAATATTAATTTATATTTAAGAAATAAATAAATAAAAGATAATATTAAAAATAAAAAAAAATATATAAATATATAGATATATACCTATATATACATACAAATAAAAGAGTTAAAATATATATATATATATATATATATATATATATATATATATATTTAAATATTCAAATATTTAAATATTAAAATATTGAAATATTGAAATATTGAATTATTTAAATTTTTAAATATTCAAATATTTAATTATTCAATTATTTAATTATTTAATTATTCAATATTTTAATAATTAAACTTTTAAATATTAAATATTTATATTATATTAAATATAATATGTATATGTTTGTAATTTTAATGAATATTTTTTTTTTTTTATTTATTTTTAAATATATTAATAATATATATCCTTAATATTTTTATTTTAAAATTATAACAATTTCATTTTTTACAAAATAATATTTTAATTTAATAACAATTTTTTTTTCATAATAATATTTATTTTTATTTATTGTAATATATAATAATTTTTATTATATTATAATGAGTAATTTGTATTTTTTTGTATTATTTTCTATTTAAATTTAAGAAAATATTTAAATTAATTTTATTAATATTATTTTATTTAATTTTTTTTTATATTATATAATTTTTTTTTATATAAATATATTTATATTTATTTTTTATATAATAATTCTTTTTAGTTAACAAAAAAGATTTATATTATAGTTTTTATATTTTATGATTAAAGCTTTTTTTTCTATATTTATTATATTTTTATTAATTTATTTAATTTTTTTAATATAATTATAATTAAATCAAAAATTAAATAGATAATTAAAATTTTAATATTTAAAATACTTTTTTTTTATATATTTACATATTATAATAATTCTAAACATAATTTTTTAATTTTTATATTAAACTTTTTAATAATAAAAGAATAAAATAATATATATTTAAAAATTTATATTAATGTTTTTTAAACTTTTAAATATAAATGTTATTTTAATTTGAAAAATTTTATTCAAAAAGTAAATATTAAAAGCCAATATAATAAAAAGGATTAATATTTAAATAATAATATTTTAATAAAATATAATTATTTATTTCATTTAAAAAATTTATTTTAATTAAAATTAAAAATTAATCATAAATTTTATTTATTAATTCTATTTATAATAATATTTTACTAACAATTTATAAAAAAAGAAAAGTTATTTTTTTAGAAAAGATATTAAGTAAAATATAAATTTAAAAATAAA